TTAAGCTAAGGTAAGATCTAGATAGCCTATGATTATATAGTTCCTAGTTTTATATAACTAGTACATAACTATGAACTAATTCCTAAGTAGTTCTTTTACATGTGTCCAAAATTTGTTTGTCAGGGAAAAACAATAATAATCTAGAAATTTATTCAGGTAAGGTCCTATCCCTGTATCGCTGTAGATGTAACTACTACGGCAGTGGTTAATGACTAAACGTTTTTATAATGTATAAACCTGTGTATAAATGCGTTTGTTATTTCCAAATATTATCTTCTTTTATTTATATACAAAAAGAAAAGTAAACTCTGGCCAATTGGGGTCCTTCCTGATTACGCCTAATATTTTGTTAACTCTCCGTCCTATGGAAAAGTCAACAATGGGGCAGCTGAGTGGGAGGGAGGGACCGACATATCCTGACGAACCAACTCTTCAAATTTCCTGGGTTTTTCGATCAGTCCGCATTTGATCTCGGCTCCCCATAGCTTTGAGCTGCCACCTCAGCCGATGAGCCGTCTGGCCATCTCATAGTCACTCATTCTTTTAAATTCGAAAACTAAATAAATACTAAAACATTTATTTAAAGTAGATAGCATTTTGTTTTACACAGACGCCTCGTATCTTCCTCCGAAAGTTTACTCTTTATTGGCACTTCCCGAAAATAAAGCTTCTTTATTCGAAACAACTTAGATCGGTGTTTTTCAACTGTTTTTTGATATTCGCACCCGAACTTGGTAATGCCTTTCTCGCACACCCCTATTTTATCAACGTACAGTTGTGCGCTTTGCATACTTTTAGTAATACAACACATAATCTCTTCAGTTCCAATGAAAATATTTTTCAATATTTTTAGTGTTTTTATTGAATTCTGGTTATATTTAATACATGAATGACAAAAATATCGATTTTTACTTTTTCAAGTAACTGATTTTGTTATTATAGTTCGTACAGTACATTTTAATGCACATTGATATTTTCTCTGTATACTTTGCGGCTCACCAGTGGCCAAGCGGTCTTCGTTCCCTGAACACTGGGACTTCGCTCGAACGGGCTGGCCACGTGGAGTTTTCCGGGTTTTCTCCATGTCTGTAACGCCTAAATAGGGACTAAAAAAGCTAAATTGTTATTCTTATTTTTGCACTGAATTTTCAAATGTTTCTTGCATTTTATAAAAACTTTTTTAAAGAAATTAGATTTGATTTTTGTGTGTACGAAATGAGAAAAATCAATTATGGTTTGCTGTCAAACATAGAAATACATTACAGCGTCTTCACTTAATTTACAATGTTCTGCATCTTACTCATTATCACTTTTTTCCTGAGCCATTAATGCTTCTGCTAAATTGATTTCGAATTTTAAATAGTCCGTGACTTTGAGGGACAAGTTGTATGGTGAAGGAAAGACGTTACATAGGAAAGTCTGTTTTCTAGCTAGACGGCTAACGACGTTATATCGAAACATCTGAAATCTAAGCGAAATTTATTGCAGATTACAGTCTCTAGTTATGTAAATTATAAATCTATAGACTACAGAAATTAAATAATTTTTCATTAATAATTGTTTTCTATTTCAGGATAATATGAGAACCTTACAAGTTGGATTAATATTTTGTTCTATGCTCTCCATATATTTTTTTGGTGGACTTCCGTCTATTATCAGGTAAAAACGGATAATCTATTTAAAATTTTTCATAATTTTATATATAGAAATTTTTTCAGATCATAAAGCTGCAACTAAAAATATATTTTTTATTGAAACTTCTGGCGCTTCTTCACTAAACTTTCGTCAGTTTGCGCAATTGAATCGACTGCANATAGAAATTTTTTTCAGATCATAAAGCTGCAACTAAAAATATATTTTTTATTGAAACTTCTGGCGCTTCTTCACTAAACTTTCGTCAGTTTGCGCAATTGAATCGACTGCACGACATAATCCTTCCATGTCTACTATTGTATTACTGTTCACTAAACACCACGTTAAGAATGAATTTTCCAATGTACAGATGAGATCATCAACATTCGAAGAAATATTTGAAGGTTCCCTTTTAGATGAATGGTACTTTCAAAGGAAGTGGAATAGAAGCGTTTACAAAGTTTACCACTTGAGTGATGCGATTAGGTACGCTGTAATTTGGAAGCATGGAGAAATATATTTAGATCTAGATATTGTTATGTTAAGTCTTTACCTTCTTTCAATAACTTTGTACTTAAAGTACGCGCAAATAGTATATGTAATGGCATTTTTGGAATGCAGCGGAACCATTCTCTACTTTATAATTGTATGAAGGACTTCGTAAAGGTGTATAAAAGTAACTGTTTTGCTTGTGTAGGACCAATTCTATTTATTAAACGTTTTGTTTCGTTTTGTGGCGGAAAAAATGTAGACAATATCGAAAAAAGAAAAACTTGCAATGTTAATATTTTGAACCCGATTTCAGCTTTCCCAGTTTCGTATCGTAAATGGAGAAGTTGCTTAACAAATTCTAAGAGTCTAGATATAATTGATAAAAATGAATAATTCCTATATGATCCACGTCTGGAATAAATTTTCTTCTAAAAAAATTTTACATAGGAATTCAGGAAGCGCTTACGAAATTGCAATGACACGAAACTGTCCTACAGCTTAATCAAGCTTATCAAGAGCTTTTTTATTCGAAAAATTTTACGTCATTTTATACTACTAGTTTTTCACTTATTATAAATACAAATACAGTCAAGCTTTGGGTTTCGAACTTCATTCATTCCTAAAAGTTATCCAAAACTCGATTTATTCTCAAACCGAAAATATGTTTCCATAAGAAACAATATAAAATGGGTTAATCCGTTCCCGATCTCCAAAACAAAGCCTTTTTTTTACTTTTTTTATCTCTATTTGTCTGTCCTTCTGCATTTTCTTAATCTCGATAACGGAGTTAGATACGTAAAAGTGGAGACCAAATATGCAAACCTTGGCGGCAAGAGACCCAGATTAACTAACTATCAATATATAGAATCTTCCGATGCAAACCGGAAGTCACGTTATTTCAATTCACAAATTTTCCCCGAAAGATATTAGCTAGATGACGGCACGTTTCTATTGTTAAAGGAAAAGTATGATGTACAGGGGCAAGCCACTACGAATTTGAGGTGGAGAGCATACATTTTAAATTAAATAGATGAAGAAATATGATTAAAAATTGCAGCCCGGCATTGTGAGGATGTCATAAGAAATAATTGCTCGTTATTTTATTATTTTTTAATTTAATTATGTTTAATTTTAATTAATTGGCTACCTAGTATTAATACAACATATTATATGTTATAATATTAATATTTACTATATTAATAAATTTTTTCATTTAACTTAAGGATATTTTATAAACAATGATACTTGAAAGCACTTTATATTACGTCAATGTCAATTAACGCGGTTTTTATTAATTAATTTGAGTTAAATTCAACTGCGGCGCGTACCGAAAAACGGAAATAGTATCTTTTCCGTATGCGCATGGAAATGTAATTTAAATGACAACGTCATCGATGATTCATGTCGTGATGTAATGCTATCTCGGTATCACTAACTTCTAAATCGGTAGTCCTGTCGTTGATTGGTCGAGAAGTGGTCTTTCTTCATCACAGGAAGTATAGGAAGTATTAATCATTTTAACTTTGCAATAGTTTCACATGTATAGATTGTTTTAGTTATTTTTGAATTTCCGTCGGATGTATAAATTATTTTTTCACAAATTAAAGACAAAGTCGCTCTAAAAATATATATTTCAGACGATTACCATTTTTACATAGTGTTCTAGAACAAGCTACAGACAGCTGGACCTTCCTTTTTAGGCTACACAACTGCCTATATTTAAAAATGTTCCTTAAAAACACAAAAAAACCAATAAATATTGAGAAAATTCTTTAAAATTGGAATGGTAAACTTTACGACGTCTTGTTAGTTCATCCTTGTCCATTTGGGTTTCTGGCTCCTTTTATCTACTGAGAGATCTATCTCCTTTTATCCTCTTGTTTTAGTTATTTAAATTGTTAATATAAGCATGTTTTAATCTTACCTTTTAATTTTATTGAAAGTTTTTAGACGATAACTTTCTCATCCTTCTAAATAAAACTTTTTCAGTCTTATTTTATAACTTTACATTAATACTCAGCATACGACACTTCACATTACGCTTTTATTAATTAATATTAAACAAGAAAAATGTTCCGGGAATGAATTCTGCAAAATGACAATCCAAGTGCTTGATGGCACCGTAGTCACTGAGATATTTTATTGGGTCCAAATTTTATCAAACTGTGTGATTTAAGAAATAAAACAAAATACTATCGTGTTTGGAGGTAATAAATTTTAACATATTTGAAAGTAGTAAATATAATAAAACCAGTTGATAATGAAACCTGAGTGAAACGAAAAAACTAATTTTCACAAGTTTTATTGTGTTAAGTAACTGCAAAATATGCGCAAGTTTAAAATAAATAACAACTTTTACAAGGTCCTATATAGATAAAGCAGACAGACGTATTCTAAGCGTTGAAACAAAGAGCAAATCTGTATTGAACATGGGTTTGAATATCTTTATTTGCGAATAAAGTCCCGTAAAAGTCGTGGCAAGACTATTTAAAAAGACCCGTGTGGCCATTTTTGAGTTGCGGTTCGAAAAAATCTTAATTACAAGTATACAGCACGATGATGAATCTCATTATAATTTTATTAAACCAATGCGTTGTCTTATGCCATGAAAAACAATCAAATAAATTTGTTTCAATTATATCGTTTGCGTATATTACATTGTTCCTTCCAATCTATCTTTTATATTTTGATATATAATATCAATCTTTGTAATTTATTAATAGATAAGCTTGTAATTTTAAATCAAACATAATATTGCTGATAAAGCACTTCAAAACTTGAAAAAACTGATCACGTGATGATTTACACCAATGAAATGTTAACTCGTAAAAAATGATTACTTCTAAAACGATTACTTCGTATCAGTAACTAACCGACTTTGGATCAACTAGTAAGAAAATTAGAAATGACATTTTCTACTTTGAATAGAATTTAATGTCTATTTAAGTTCGTCAGTATAGTCGTAAGTACTATTTAAAATGTTCGTCATTAACTCGCATATTATTTAAAGAACTTAGAACTACAGTACTTATATTACTCCTAGAGAGATTCGCATAGTTTAAGTCACGTACCATGGGCAAATTAGCTGTTCATTTGATGTGTTCGATGTTATTGAAGTCGTGATTTACACAGAAATCCAGACGGATGATCGAATCATTTACGCACATTTCAAGATGTGAAGGATCACAAATCAGTTTTATTTATATATGAATTCTCTTAAAGTTTGCAATCAGTTGTCTAATAGTAAAATGCGTAATTGGTGCTGGTCTGAAAATTTGCGGTTGACGGGCGAATCCTGATCAAAATTTTTGGGCGTGCTGAAAGTTATAATAAGAATAATAGGCCTATCTCTAGCACTAAACAACAGGTAGAAAGGTTATTTTGTGTGAATAAAAAAGTATGGACTATTATATGAATTATATTATAATGAAAAAGTATTAAAAATTTATATTAATAATTCAATTTTTGTGGGCCTCGACACTGCTGGCCCAGAGCTTTAGTCCTATTAGTCCGTATGCAGATCCATCCCTGTACACAATACTGGGAACCGCAAGCTTTTGATACAATCTGGCCGTGTTAAATGCTTCGAATGACGTCATGCGCTCTCACTTGTTTGCTCCCGAAAAACCTCCACACGAGCAAGTAATCGAGTTCCCGCAAACATCGCAGTGACTTAATACAGCTAGCCGTTAGCTGCCAATAATGCAAAAGGAAAACAAATAATAAAACAGTTTACAACCAGTGATTCTCAAACTTTTTCGATCCACTGCCCCCTTTGTTCCATAAAGTTATACCCAACGCCCCCTAACCCATTTTCTCTTGTGTGAGAAAAGAATTGGAAATATTCTTATGAAAACTTTTCTATGAATCTCACACTTTGTGCCCTTACTGTACATTGTTCTCATCATCTGGAAACCATTAAACGCAATGTTTCCTCTTATCAGCCCCAATTTTGCCTTTGGTCACCGTTCAATACCCTGCCTCTATCATAGATCTATTCATCGCGCCAGAAGGGGGCGTTATTGCTTACTTTGAGAAACGCTGAGCTAAAATAAAAGTCAATGTGTTAGAAATATTCAAGTTGTGACCTTCAATAAAAAATAAAAAATATATAAAATGTCAACATTTTATATATATTCGGTCGAATTTTTATATATAGAATTTGTCTGCCGTCGCCCCTCTATATTTCCTTAACGCCCCCAATTCTCTTTGAGCATTCTACTGCCCCCCTGAAAGCCTCCAGCGCCCACAAGGGGGCGTTATCGCCCACTTTGAAAAACGCTGGTTTACACGTTAGAATAAATTATTATTGGCATATTTGTTCTCATATAAAAAATATATTGACAGTCAAAACTTTCTCTTAAGCATGCGACTCATTCTTAGCAAGCCCAGGGAATTCGCACCTGGTGGTTGAACTCATCTCCTCCTATCTCACTGTTATATTGCTCGACCTGTCATTGCCCACTAGGATGATCCCAATGTAATAATCTTGCACCAATATTGTCTTGAAACTGAAAAACACATTACATTATAGTTTGCCTATGGTGCGTGATTCATGATAAATCCTGTATAATTTTATTTTATTCATTTTAATTATTATTTGCTTTTTCTCAATTTTTGTTTCTCTGAATCGCTTGTTTTATTTTTAAATTTGACTAAAATTATTATTTTTAGTTAAATTTATTATGAGTTAAATTTAATCAATACAGTAATACCTCGACTTACTCTACCCCGACTTACTCGAACCAGGAGTTACGCGATTTTCAAATCTCGTCGATTCGTCTTTTGTTTAAGCGTCATGCAACTCTTGATTACTCATTTCCCCCATACTATTGTTCAGCTTCCATGTTCGGATGTGTCACGCGGAATCGACACATAGCTACAATTTATTTTGTGTTATTTATTTCTGTGTTCGTTATATCTACGGAGACTCGAGAGACTCTATGTTGTGATTTCTTGTAACCGTAAACGAATCAAAAGACGAGATAAGATTAACGAGAACATTTATTAGCTTACATACATCCGACTTGGATTTTACATAAATTGGGAAATTATACCCCAACTTACGCGAATTCGACTTACGCGGTTATCACTCGGTCCCATCTATCTCGTAAGTTCGGGGTATTACTGTAAATATAGACTTTGAACTGATTGAACTGATTGTAACTGTTAAGAATTTATCGAATTTATATAATAGAGATAAATTTCGTGTTGCAATCATATCTTTAACTAGCTGTTACCCGCGACTTCGCCCGCGGACGTTTTGCAAGCAAACCCCATTTATATTCAGTATTTCAACAACCATAGTAATTGTTATATAACACCTACCGCTGAAGAGAATTGCCGAGAATCAAACGAACTATTTTCAATTTGATCAATTTTCTGGGACGTTTACAATCGTTCTATAGTCGAACCGATACGCAATAACAAATTCAAATTTAAAAAGGTTCGAACATTTGGTTAAAAAATCGAAATATATAAAAATATTTATAAAAATGTCTGAAATGTTATTAATTTAATACACTTAAGTACTCGATGAAGACTAAATCCTCTCCCTCTCCCGCCCACAAGGAAATTTCGAAAAATCCCTTCTTAGTGTGCATTCTCATGGCATACCCTACTAAAATGCAGATAAAAACAAAAAATTGCATCTAAAATAGTGCAGTAGAAGCTGTTGTTCCAGTTAAGCCTTAATGCTCTCCCTCTCCCCTGCGGGAAAATTTTGAAAAATCCCTTCTTAGTGTGCATTCTCATGGCATACCCTACCACAATGCAGATAAAAACAAAAAATCGCATCTAAAATAGTACAGCAGAAGCTGTTCTTCTGGTTAAGCCTTAATCCTCTCCTTCTCCCCCTGCGGAGGAATTTCGAAAAATCCCTTCTTAGTGTGTGTTTCCATGACGTACCCTAACTGTCTACCAAATTTCACCTCTAGGTTAAGCGGTTTGCTCTGGGCGATGATGAATCAGTGAATGAGTGAGTCATTCAGTCAGTCAGTCAGGACCAGCAATTTTATATATTTAGATTAAACTCATGTTAATGAAAGTATTATAAACAAATTTCAATCAAAATATGAATTTACAAAAAACTTCTGGAATTTCATTTTTGGTATGAATTACAGTAGAGTNTCAGTACATGGGCAGTGCACAGAGATGCTAAACGATTCCTATAAAATAGCAAGTACCGTTTACATATGTACGCATAAATTTTATGCTTCAATTCGAACAGAAAGAAACCCATAATAAAACCCATTAACAATATAAACATATTGGGCTGTACATATTGCTGTCATGAATTACTAGAAGCATCAAATTAACATCTTAATAGGAGTCTGTACCACAGAAAGTTCCCGTAAAGACACACTTTGTATAACTTCCTAGTGTTCAATTGCCTAATCCCGTTAACCAATCATCAAATCCTTTTACTACTGTATTTATGACAATGATCTACGATTAAGAATTGATAAAAATAATTTTAAATATGAACAGATGAAGTGTTGTTAAATTGCTCGTTTATTTTTCGATTTTAACTTAATATTTATTAATTTTCCGACTACCATGGCTACATTTTTTCTGCAATAAATTCTTAACCAGAGCAGGGGTTTTCAACAGTGCAGGCCTTACACACTAGATTCCACAAGGTCACTTCGGGATGCCGAGAAATCGATTTCTGGAAGAAGATAAGACAACACTTCGGCGATCTGTCAGACGGGGAGTGACCGGAGAACTCAATGGAGAGTTGTCCCCTATTTAGCTGTTATACTAGAGAAGAAAATCTGTTAAACTCCACGTGGTCAGTCCATTTCTAAGGCGCCAACCCACGACCAACTACAAGTTTATGCACTAGGCATCTTGTGCATTCAGGTTTCGCGAAATATAGTGCAGAGTAGTTCCAAAACTTATTTTACTTGTAGTACTAAAAGTACTGAAAGGAGCGTCAGACCTACTATGAAACTAATAAAGCTTAAACTTTAGGGTCACTGTACTAATCGTAGAATATTAGTATCGAAGCAGCTGGACTTTCTCCTTGTGCCTTATCATCTAGGTTCCTACACTTCATCATCAAAATTTCCCTGCAGTCTAGCGGCGGCCCAGAGGGTCAGTTCTTACTGACTCTCCCTTCTACTCCGCTTCTACTATCCTTACTATCCTTTTCTCCTTTACTATGCTATCGTTCTTACCTCCCATCCTGGTGAGGTTCTGCTGGCCTATGACGCTTGGCTGTGAGGCGAGCGTCTTGTGTTTGCCGCTACCGTCTCCCGGTGCAGTGCGCGGCAATCTTTTCTATTTTCTCGACCAGCTTGATGCTTCCGCAGCTATTCCGGTGGGTGTTTGTCGGCCATCTACACTTCTTGCGTCCCTAATTTTTCTGGTCTATCTTTCTCTTACACTATCTGGGCACCTCTATACTTTATACTTGTCTGAGCCTCAGGACCAGGGCCACTTGGTGGATGACGGGCTCACCCTCCTCTTCTCGCTTCTTTTCAAATTATTTAAACACTATAGTATTGTTTATCTTCCCTCTTTCGTAAAACCCTTCGCTTATCGAACTGTCTTTTCTAAATTTCTCTGTCTACAAGGCGTCTTCTCTCTGTCGCTTTCCGCCCCTTCGACTAGTGTATGCAGACAACCGGGTACTTCGCCTTCTTTCTGGACGGGCGTTAGGTGCGAGGTTCGTGCACTGGACTCGCTCGTCCTGTTTTTTCGGGGTAGTTGCTCCGGTCGGGTGGACCTCCTCGACTGCTGAGCACTTCCCTCTCGTTTTTCTGGATAGTGGCCTCGATCCCGGTACGGGTATCCCTCGGTATATCGGCAGCAACGGTTCTGCTCCGGGGTTGCCGTCTGCAGTCGGCAACTGGCTTCCATCTTGCTTCCCGTGGCCTTTATCCACTCTTGGACGCCTCTTTGGAGTGGCGTTAGCGGGCCACTGCACCTATCCCTGCTGCTTTCGACTTTCTTTTATGTGTGTTATTTTTCCTCTCCATCTGGCCTGTAAGATTCCTTCGTTAGCCCTCAGCCAGGTGAAACCCTACTTCACTCTCTCTTAATTTCAACTTTCTCATTAACTTTGCAGCCACTCTCTTAACTCAAATTTAAAAATCATTTCAACACTCTGCTCTTCATGGTGGTCCTGTCCAACTCTTACTATATTTGGTTCCCTCATAATTACTAATTTTCATTTTGCTTTCGGCTTTGTCTGCCCACTTTTGGCCTAGCTTGACATGTGAAGTTTTACTGGGTTCCTTCACATCTTAAATCCCAAATGGGGTCAAGCTCCCCCTCAATGTCCTCCAGTAGGCATTCTACTGGATTGTTGACTTGCTCACCAAGCCAGTCTCCCATTTCAAAATTTTAACAATTCTAAATTTGTTGGACTCGACCATCTGTGGCTTTCCCGCTACCTTCTTTTCCACAGTGGCTTTGCACAAGTTGGTTATTTTTTACAAAATTGGTTAGGCTTTGTTAGGAACTAACACTAAAACTATCCTGTCTGTCTTTGATTGTCAGTCTACTCTTCTTTTATACATCCTCCAGCTCTGGCCTCCCCAAATGTGTACTGAAATCAAACTCCCCCAAATCTTTGGTCTTGGGGCTGCCTGGGGGGTCTAACTCTTTTGAGTTGGCTCCCCTCCTTTGTTGTCTCATTGACCTCTGCCTAAAGATCAAATAAACCTATTAATGAAAATTTAAAATGCTCAGTAAATATCCCTAAACTTTTTATCATAATGCTGAATTTTATTCAATTATTAAATTACTAAATCATTAAATTTTGTTAAATTTTATTAAATTCTATTGAATTATCAAATTTTGAATCACCCCAAATTATGCTCCTTTCTTAAATTTACTTGGTCTTAGCTGGATGATCCGTATCTCCGGTCACCAAATCTGCTATCCCTTTAGCACTTGGTGGTGACCACTTTACTAACTCTAACAACCTCCAACAAACACTACCATACATGCGCACTTTTTCGGCCTTTAATTTTTAAATGACAAGTACAGACTTCAAACGACACGTAAAATTTATGATCCCTAACAAGGGACTAGTTCAATACATTATGAGCCCTCCCTGGGACAAATACACTTTTCATTTTACACTTTCTGGCCCCTTACTGCTCTCTGAGCGGGAAGGGGCCTAAGTACTTTCAGACCAAACTGATCGCGGAAAAAAAAATTATATATATATATATATAGGAGAGATCGGGGCAACTTCGGCATGCGGGGCAAGTTTGTCAAGCGCTTTTTTTAAAAAACAAATTAAAAGATGACTTTGGTTATAGGTTAGGCAGTTGAGTTTTATTGGTGGCTTGTTGAGTGTAGTGTTTTTATTGTTCTCCAACAAGCGTAGTTGAATTATCAAGCAAATTTTCATTTTCGTTGAATTCCATATAATATTTTTTTCCATTTATATTGAATTGGCAGGTTTTGTTATAATTCCATGATAACGAAAGTTACTTTTCCTGTTAGAAGGATGTAACTTCAACTTATTCACGTGGCCAGATCGTGGCTTGGCATTCTGTTCTCAGGGTTGTACTTAATGTTTCGAAATCATGACTAGCGGGGTAAGATCGGCAACATAAAGCCACATTAGAAGCAAAGGATAAAAATCAAACAGATGATAAATGAAAACATGTTTGCATTTGTTATTCATGTATATATGTCTTTGAACTTGCATTTCGTTGTAATAATATTAAATGGGTGTTGGATTTGTATTTCTTTGTTTTAATAGTGAATTCCAACTTATACATTGTTAATAACATAATTTTATATACGTGCCTATCTTGCCCCATTACTGTTGCCCCTATACCAGGGGCAACTTTAATAAAAATAATTAAAATAATTACAACTTTACAAAAAGAGAGAAGTTGCCGATCTTGCCCCTATACCCGGGGCAACTTCGTCAATTTCTCTCTTCTTGTAAAGTTGTAATTATTTTAATTATTTTTATTTCCAAACTGATTTTAACCAGTTCTATAGTAAGGTAACATTCCAATAGACAATATGCAAAGCTTTTTTTTCAGTTTACAGCAGTATTTATTACACAAAATTTAAGTAAAGCTTAACATGCCGATCTTGCCCCGAAGTCCCCTATATATATATATGATGTAACACTCATTACATATGTCTGAAAATGTTCCTGTAATTAGTAAAATTTCAAAATATATCAGGGTTTACAATGCCCGAATCTCAGCAGAGGACTCTCTGAGGTTTGATGGAATTTATTTATAGCGACATTTTGAAAGCTAGATTTTCGAATTCTTTGTTGGTTCACGTCTTAATAGTTTTTTAGGATAGAGACCCAAAACAAGAGCAAAGGTGCCCTTAAAGTTTTAAGATTCGAGAAATATAGATCAGGAGATAGAAAAGGAGTTAAAATTTTGAAATGGGAGACTGGCTTGGTGAGCAAGTCAACAATCCAGTAGAATGCCTACTGGAGGACTTTGAGGGGGAGCTTGACCCCATTTGGGATTTAAGATGTGAAGGAACCCAGTAAAACTTCACATGTCAAGCTAGGCCAAAAGTGGGCAGACAAAGCCGAAAGCAAAATGAAAATTAGTAATTATGAGGGAACCAAATATAGTAAGAGTTGGAGCTACCTTCTTTTCCACAGTGGCTTTGCACAAGTTGGTTATTTTTTACAAAATTGGTTAGGCTTTGTTAGGAACTAACACTAAAACTATCCTGTCTGTCTTTGATTGTCAGTCTACTCTTCTTTTATACATCCTCCAGCTCTGGCCTCCCCAAATGTGTANTTACAACCGTGATGCAAGTGAATTTCGGACGGTCATCATGTCAAGCTAGGCCAAAAGTGGGCAGACAAAGCCGAAAGCAAAATGAAAATTAGTAATTATGAGGGAACCAAATATAGTAAGAGTTGGACAGGAATAAAAAATTACCAAGTTCTGACGCCACTGTTAGAGAAAGGTTGGATTCAGAATAAAAACTTCTGAAGCAAAAATAAATTTCAAATTATCTAATTCGCTTATTCTGAAGATTTTATTCATATCATATATAACTTTACATCGTCATGCTCTCTCTCTTTCGTAGTCTTTACATTCCATGTTATAATTATAGTGGTGCCTCGTATAACGTACGCCTCGAATAACGGACGCTGCGAACAACGGACTTTCTGTTTGGCCGTTACGTGACTCGAGCAACGGACTGGTTGCGAACAACGGACTAGTTGCGAACAACGGACTTTCCGTTCGGCAGTTATGTGAAGCGAACAACGGTCTTCTTGCGAACAAGTGCGAATAATGTTTCCACTCTTGCCGTTGCCAATGGCAATCTGCTATTTTTATAATATATTAGTATTATTAGAATATATTATTAGTATATCTGAAGTACAGAGCTCCCGTTGGGATTCGGCTTGTTCCCTTGTTTATTACGTACAGTACATCACCTCAGTGCAGGGGGGTATTTACATTTATTCAAGTGTTGTGCAAATCATGGCTTCTAAAAAAACAGAGAGGTGATTTGAATTGAAACAAAGCAAGAAATCATCAGAAGGAGTGAAAGTTGACAAAAATTTCCTTGTCAAATGGGGAGAGGTTCAGAAGTTTACCAACACTCATTATTCAAACAGAGCTGAGGCCAACAGGATCAATGATCTCTACAATGACACCCTTGCCCGTCATTTCCGACAGTGTCGAAGAAGAGAGAGAAACAGACCACCTTGGACATGTTTTTCAAGAAGCAAGCTGCCAAAAAACAAAGGATGGAACAAGAGGAGATGACCCCGCAAGCTACGGTCATCTAACTCCGATTAAAAAACAAAGAAAGTGTTCCTCCGCCTCCTCCTCACAAAATCTGACTACCCGGTATAATTGGTGACCGCTCCATTTTCATTTTTTTAAGGTACGGTTATTTTATGCTGCGGAACGAATTATATGTTTTAACATGTATTTCTATGGAAAAATGCGTTTCGCATAACAGACTTTTCACTTAACGGACGTGCACCTGGAACGGATTAAGTACTGTACGTTATAAGAGGCACCACTGTATGTATATTTTTCACACACTTCAGACTCGAATTATTAAGATGTAAAGATGTGTAAATTATACTTCTTTACTGATGAATCTAATTCCTTCAGCACCTGAACGATCTTTCGAATTATGTCATAAAGTGTCATAAGTTAGTACTAATTAAAACATTTTTTATATTTGCATGTTTTGTAGATAAATATATATTTAAAGCTGGATTTGAATTGTTATCTGTTTAAAATATCATATCTTTAGATATTTTAAAATGTAATTTCATTGAAATTGTTATTGTCCCAAACTCTCATAATTTTTTTTAATCTTATATCAGAAATGAACAAAATACTGTCCAAAGGTCATTTTATGTCCTCAAGTTGCTCATATAAAGTAAGTTTAATTTTCAATTAAATTCCATAACGCATATTTTAATAAGTATATTTATAATGATTTAATAGAAACTGTTGGAGTTAGTGGATTATATATTTTAAATTACACATTAGTGGATACTATTAATAATTAATAAAAAATAATTTGTTGTTAGACTAGAGATAATAATTATTTTACTGGATAAATTACGTATAAATGCAACAGAATTCGCTTATTGTAATCACTTTCGGAATTGCTTACGCTGATTCTAATAACAGGCTTCTTATACTGATAAAAACCGACTATTAACATTGTGTACAGCAAATAAGACTCAATTAGTATAAATTCTTGTTTTATTAACTCTGGTTAAAATTCTAATTCTAACACAGAGTGTTCTCTCAAACCTCTGTAGTTTTAACTTTCTCTGTATACGCCATGTGTGCAGATAACTGATATATGTCAAAAATGCTGGCAAGTTTCATATATTAATACGTACATTGGAAACGGCTGATGTAGGCCTATAAATCTGTGTAGATCGATGTAACTCCATTCTTTGGCTTTTCCATTAAGTGCTAATTTAATGCAAGTTATCATTTTCTGCAGTATTGTAACCATGTATTTTTTCAAAATTAATCTACAGAACTAGGAAGGTTCGAGAGAAATAGCCTGTACATTAATAATAAAATTTTTAAAAAATTTTTTCTGTATTTTAATGTTTTGGGGGGAATAATTTAGCATGATTACATTAAATAATGTATAATATATTTTAATTAAAAATAAATAAACATTGTTGTTTTATGTTTTCAATTTTTTTTTTATTTTATTGGGTAGATATTTTTAAAAATATTCTTATATTTGACGTTGTTATTTTATTCCGTTACTTATTATTAAAAATAATAATAAATGATTTATTTTAACCGCTACTGTTCGAAGCCACATTTGTGAGAATTACTGACAATATGGCTTCTTGGTACTAAAGTTTTGTATTATTACGTAATTGTATATATTTTATTTGTGAAATTCACGAAATTAATAGCGAAAAAATTTTGGAGGAATTGTAAATTGTAAGAGAAATACATCGACTATTTACAGAATTAAATGAGAATGTAAATTTTTCATGGAAACGAAAGGTTTTATAGTATCGATGGTAAGAATCAACTTGGATATTAACCAATGAGCATCAGCCATTGATCGATAAGTTGTGGCAAGTTACTTCCGATTTCTTCCTCATTTGTTAAAAATTAAACCGGGGCCAGTTTTTCTATAGAAATTGCTATCGGGAGTCATCTCCCTGCGGAAGATTACCCATCATCTCATTTGATCTTCCGCAGGAAGATGATCAAATTAAACCAAACATATTGATTGCAAATTTTTACGTTTTGTTATAGCGTTGCATGTTAAAAAATCCTTTAAACTGTGTAATATATATAATGATATTTTTATTTTTTCTTTCAGAATACAAGGAAGTTAATACTTGCAATCATCTGCCTGCTAGTCGTTTCATTATTATTATTATCGTTTTACGGTTCGAAATCATACAAATTGCCTTTTTATTTTTCAGGTAATAATTAATTTTATATTATGTTATAATAATTGTTATCATGGTCTTATTGTAACCAATAAAATTCTGAATAATTAGAGGTATGTATTACCAGCCTAATCACTCGTAAAATTGCAAAAATCTGGTGATTGGATGAAATTTGGTCGTAGTTTAATCAAATACTGTACAAACCAATACACGAAACTCTTCCATTGAACGCTTAAAACCGATATCATTGCCATCTCCCACTCTGGTTTAGTACAATCTCTGAGATATGTGCTTTTCTTTTTCGTGGTTTTCGAAGAATATGGTGTCTTGTGTGCTTCTTTTCTATTTGGAATACAGAGAGGATTTACCACTCTACAAACTGTGAATGAAATGATATCATTTTTTTTAGATACGTAAGGTTTTGAACAAGTAGCAGAGAACACTAAGCGTGGCTGGAAAACATAAGTGCCATGCATTTATTGTGACGAGAATTAGAGGAAAATATATTATTTCAAATTTCTCCTGAAGAGACAACTTACTCAGAACTGCATAGATAACTTGTTCTTTGTTGTTCGCTTTGGAAATGGTAACAATTACAACCGTGATGCAAGTGAATTTCGGACGGTCATGAAAACCATTATGATGAACTACAGCCATCGCATGCAGGCAGATGTGAGATAGATCTCGATAACTTCATGGAATGCATACATCAGATGGAACGAATAAAGTCGTGTTTGATAGTGAACTCACCACGAGCAACAGGAAAAGAAGAATCCATGGAAATTTTCGAGGATTTATCTTTAAATGATTAAAATACAACGTGCTGTGTTGCTTTGAACTGTTAGCAGAGTATCTCATGCACAATGAGAGAACATTGGCACCCAAGAACCTTTGAGTGATCCTAGAGATATTCTCCTGAAAATGAAACACAAAATGCTACAATCTTAGGCCCTTCTGAACTAGCAGGAAATTTTAGGTATCACCTGTGTGATGTATCCACATCAAAATTTAACGATATCATTATACAGGATAAACAAAATGTCAAGTCACAGCTACTAGATTACAATATTTATGTCTTCCGAAGCATGTAGAAGTTTGCGACTAATGGATAATGGCGTTCACTTATTAATGACAAGATAAAAACTGCAAATGAACTGTTACGAAACAAAGTTCCAAGGAAACAAAACAAAAAGGTTTACATACCTGAACGAACGAGAATCGTGTACCATATTTATTTTGTCGTATTACTGTATTAAATAAAGATGTAATGTTTGCAGTTTATTAATATTACTTAAAAATATTGTTGTACAGCAGTGATCTGTTATACAAAACTTTCTAAAAGTGTACTGTAGTGTCAAAATAATCAAACTATACAAACCATAACAATGGAAAGTGTCAATGATCTTGAGATGTAAAAAGTGAGTAACAAATAGCATTAATTTGGCACCTTTTTCAGCCACATTTAGCAATTAATTAGTGGATAAAAAGTTCCTGTGTTTGACATTAGGTTACATCAATTAACTGTTACCTGTAGATACATTATAGATTAATATATTAAGTATAACATTAATATGTTGAGAAGGAAAACGCTACGCTAGTCCAAGCCGTTAGGCAGCAGCTCTTTTTAACCTCTGTTGTCTTTGATTTTCCAAGGAGTTTGGTGTATTGGTATGTAGAGTGGTATTTAGTTAAATAATGGAATTGTGAGACCTTGGGTGCCGTCAAAATCGAGATTCGAAGTTTTTGGGCAGGGTCCTGCCACCAGGTGTGTATTATCGCACACAACTCCGACTTAGACTCTAGATATGATTGCGATACACAAGGCGCAAGGGAAAGAGTCACTCCGAAATCAACGAATTGGCTATTCAGATGAATGATGTAAATAAAATCAACTAAATCAACTTAAGGTTAAAAAAACTGAACATTTATTACAAAAACAAAACATAATATTAAAATTAAGTTTATAATTAATATTGAAAACAGTCTGTCGATAACATTATATCTATATTTGGATAAACAGTCTATCCTCGGAACTTAGCCTATTTCTTTACTATTAAATCTAGAATACCTAGCGGAGAGTATTCCGAAATTTGCGACTAACAACTTACTAGGAAAAGAGTTGTTTATTATCTCCCTCTTTATCTCCCTCTTTGCTGACTCTATTTCTTCCAAATTTGACAGTCTTCTCTGGTCTGATTCCTTTCTGTATTGTTGACTCTCCTTTCTTTAAACTGATTGTTTTTCTTGGTTTTTGTCACACTCTCTCTCTTGTTCTCGATGTTCTCTTTTGTTTTACTTTTTTCTGACTAATAATGATTTTATTCCGGAGGCAGTTGATATAATGAGAAATAAGCTTGATTTTTAGTCTTCCTTGTCTCTTGTCTAGTATGAATTAAATGTGTCCTCGTGATCTAGATAAGGTTGGTTAGTTGATTGTGGTTTTTTAGCGCAAAGGCCACAAAGTCCAAGCTGCTCCACGCCAAATGGTTAATTTCCGAACTCAATACATATATAAATGACACACATATAAATATTATATAAAATAACAACAAAAAAAACAACAAAGAGTAAGACAACAACTGTCACTTAACGTTAGTTGAAAAGGGGAAACGAACGATCATACCCTTGGTCTTTTTCTTCGAGTATTGTGAGGTTAATCACAATTAACATAATTTTTGTTTCTCTTGATTATTTTTTTATCTGTATTGCTAAAAATTTTTTAAAAAGAGTCCCTAAAAATTGGAAAATAAACGAAATTACTACAACACTTCTTGATAACATAAACAACCACGTGTCGGTGCAAAGGGAGTCTTGTCCTGTAGATAACAATTGTTTGATAGACAGTACAGAAAGAAATTTAGAATATGTACGTAAATCTATATATGTATATAATCGAGATGGGTTGATAATCATAATAATAATAACTCTCCCGTGGTCACCAGACCACGGGAGAGTTATTATTATTATGATTATCAACCCATCTCGATTATATACATATATAGATTTACGTACATATTCTAAATTTCTTTCTGTACTGTCTATCAAACAATTGTTATCTACAGGACAAGACTCCCTTTGCACCGACACGTGGTTGTTTATGTTATCAAGAAGTGTTGTAGTAATTTCGTTTATTTTCCAATTTTTAGGGACTCTTTTTAAAAAAATTTTAGCAATACAGATAAAAAAAATAATCAAGAGAAACAAAAATTATGTTAATTGTGATTAACCTCACAATACTCGAAGGAAAAGACGAAGGGTATGATCGTCGCTTCCTCTTTTCAACTAGCGTTAAGTGACAGTTGTTGTCTTATCCACATCACGTGGACACATTTAATTCATTCTAGACAAGAGAGAATTAGAGCTAAAAATAACCAATCAAGCTTATTTCTTATTATATCAACTGCCTCCGGAATAAAATCATTATTAGTCAGAAAAAAATAAAAGAAAAGAGAACATCGAGAAAAAGAGAGAGGAGAGTAGACAAAAATCAAGAAAAACAGTCAATTTAGAGAAAGGAGAGTCAACAATATAGAAAGGAATCAGACCAGAGAAGACTGTCAAATTTGTAGGAGATAGAGTCAGCAAAGAGAGATAAAGAGAGAAAAGGATAAGGTGCAACAGTAAAACGTAAAAGAAAGAGAAGACAGAAGATGAAAAGAAGACAACTCTTTTCCTAGTAAGTTGTTAGTCGCAAATTTCGGATTACTCCCCGCCAGGTATCCCTGGGTTTATTAGTAAAGAAATAGGCTAGATTCCGAGGATAGATTGTTTATCCAAATATAGATATAATGTTATCGACAGACTATTTTCAATATTAATTATAAACTTAATTTTAATGTTATGTTTTGCTTTTGTAATAAATTTTCCTTTTTTTTTAATCTTAAGTAGGTTTAGCTGATTTTACATCGTTCATCTGAGAAGCCAATTCGTTGACTTCTGAATGACTATTTCCTTTGCACCTTGTGTATCTCTATCTTATCTAGAGTTTAAATCGGAGTTGTGTTCGATAATACACACCTTGTGGCAGGACCAAAAACTTCGAATCTCGATTTCTCTATTTTGACGGCTCCCAAGNATAGATATAGATTTAGTTAATACACTCTCACTTACATTTCAGGAAACACTCACTAAATATACAGGCACAGATCCCACACAAAGACAACGAATACCGAAAATTAACACGTCAAAGGAAGTAGGAAAAACACTAAATTATGTAAACACTCACTTACTACCAAACTACATTCATTCAATTTCTACACTCGCAGATATTCATACATTAGTTTATGCTGGGGCAGTCACAGTAGTAACACACCATGGACTGAAAATACAATCGCAGACAGACACACACAAAACACAATTTTATCACAAGCCTGCCTGGTAAATAAGAATAGAAACACAAATAAATGACATTAGACAGCAATTAGTCAGGCTGACACAATACACTAAAAACAACATAACACCTAAATTAAAGAAACATATCAAAAACATTTTCAAGAAAATCAAAACACACACAAAACATGAACATCACAACACACACATTACAGAATACATCGATACACTAAAACAGAAACTCGCAGCAAAAGCACGTAGACTCAAACGATACAAAACATGTACACTACGAAAACAACAAAATAAATTATTCGCAAACGACGAAAAACTTTTCTACAGACAAATCAGTACCAAAACAAACACTGATACACAGCACAGTGGCACACCAACAGAAGAAGAACTCACAACTTATTGGTCTTCTCTTTGGTCCAATGCTGTTACACACAATGCTGATGCAGGCTGGATCGAGGAGGAGAACAGAAACTTGCACAACATACCAACTATGCCCTGTGCTGAAATAAACGTACACGACATTCGCTACGCCGTTAACAGAACACACAACTGGAAGACACCTGGTGTAGACAACATTCACAATTTCTGGTACAAAAAGTTTACATCACTGCACCAGGAACTAGCTAAACATCTAACACACATCATCATCAATCCACAAGACATGCCAAAATTTCTTACTCAGGGCATCACCT